CAGAAGACAGAAATCTTCGTACTCACCGCCGCGAAAACCTCAAATCTTACATAATTTTTACATATTTAAATCTACATGTTTTGTTCTGCTTACAATCTCTTGGTACCCAACACAGACCATTGTAAGCTTACACGTATTTGGATAATTTGATAACACGTTTTAAAGTCTTGTGTGTTTATAAGCGTGGAAGTTAGTGCCCAGTTTAACCTCGGTAATCATAATAGTGAAATTAGGTTTTTATGTGTAAATTAAATAGTTTTTGTGTGTTGTAACATTGGGCTTGATTTCCTGATACTGGTCTGGTTGCTCCATCGCCCCATGACTTGCACACATTATCCTCGATGAAAAAATTCCTCTCATTTTACTTCAGAATTGAACCTGATTGCTTGATTCGTAATTCATCTCTAATTGAAAGCAAAAGGAAAGAAATGCAGTTTTGCTTTACCATACACGAACTGTTCTTTTTTAATTTTACTGCCGCTTACAAGAGAGTTGCATCAGGCGGGATTGTGTACTAGAGCCTATTGTATTGTACTCGGGAGGAGTGAATGAGTGTTTCTAATGTAGTAACTTTCATCAAATGACATTATAATTATTATCATTTCAAGGTCAATAATACTGGACCTCAAGCCATTGGGCAACGCAAAATTCCCTTTCCTTAAGTTTTATATTTATTCAGAGGACGTTATCAAGTATGCCACACTTTATCAGAAGAAACGATTTATACATGTATGTAAAATGTTTTTACACTGGTGTCTGTTTTTCGGTTTTCGTCACATATTTTTTCGTAATTGTTTATTTACATTTTGTGTTGTATACACCATATACACTGGTGCTAACTAGTGGAAGCATGACAAAATGTTTATCATCTCATACTTTAAGATGCTATGGTATACACTATTTTTGTTAATTTCTACGCACAAAAAATGTCTTTGTTTTTAAGGCTGTATGATTTATGACATTAGGAAAAAATACTGTCACATTAGTTTTATGTTACTTTTGGTAAAAGTTTCATTCTCTCTTTCCTTATGACGCTAAGTTGGTTGAAAATATATTTTTGAGAGCAAATCAAAACAGATGTAACGTCTTTTCAAAAATATTTCATAGTTATAATAAATCACTGGTGTAATTAGCCCCGCGGGAACCGCAGAAACGTGAATATTACTTCGAGCTGAGTATTCAGTTAGGAAATACCGGGTCTACAATTTTTGAGGCTGCGGTCGTGCTTGCATTGCGTGGTCGGCCGGCGCTCTGTTGATGTGGGCGGGAGTTGTACGCGTTCTTCAGGTGGGTGACCGGCGAATGAGTTTCAGTGCCGCTAGTAACAGCGAACTACGAATATTTATCGTCACTAATACATGTTATTACACTAAATGTTCTTACCCTAAATCACAAAAGATGTTCAAAGTGACTTCCTTGTGCTTGCAGGCAAGCTTCACATCTCGTTAACATGTTTCGAAATACTCGACGAAGCTCTTCTTGGGAAATTGTTGAATATTTTCTTTAAGTGCTTCTGCAGTGTGCGGATAAATTGTAAACGTTATGTAAATTTTATACTTAGACCCTTTTTCCAAGAAATGACCGATGAAGGTAAAAACATACGGTTTCTTCATGCAAGACAATGCTACAGCTCACACAGCTGATTGGTCGATGTTAGCCTTAAGAGAAGTGTTTGGTGAACAAGTTATCGATTAGTGGCCTCCGCGTTCCCCAGACTTGAACCCGTGCGATATTTACCTGTGGGGTATGCTGAAGAACAAAGTTTATGTAAACAATCCTCACACTGCAGAAGCACTTAAAGAAAATATTCGACAATTCATTTCGGCAAATTACCAAGAAGAGCTTCGTCGAGTATTTCGAAACATATTAACGAGATGTGAATCTTGCCTGCAAGCACAAGGAAGTCACTTAGAACATATTTTGTGATTTAAGGTAAGAACAATTAATGTAATAACATGTATCAGTGACGAGAAATATTTGTAGTTCGCTGTTATTAGCAGCACTGAAACTGATTCGCTTGTAACTCATGGGGAGAACGCGCACTAGTCCGGCCCACGTCAACAGAGCGCCGGCCGACCACGCGATGCAAGCACGCCCCGAGTCTCATAAATTGTAGACCCGGTACATACCATAAGGGACAACATCTCAGCTGACCATGGAATAATTCATAACCTCTTTAAATGTTTACTATTGAATTGCACATGAATTAAATAATTTATTTCAATTAATGGTAAATAATAATAAAGCTGATTTATTAAATATTTTATTAGGTATAAATACGTACTAATCATTCTTTTATTGAAGTGGTTTCGCAAAGCTTCCAGAAAAATATTGCGTTACTCTAACTCCCACCGCTTGATGAAACGTAACTTGAAAACAAAGGGAAATGTTTGTGGTAATTTGTAGTCTCATTAGGTCTATTTGAAATAAAGTAAAATCATTTATTGAGTTCTGTTATACAAAATACAGGAATCATTACACCGGGTTTTGGTCTTCATAGCTGTAAAACACTGTCCTCCTACTGTATAATGTGTTACCTGATAGTTAGGGGCCTGCCACATGTTGTGACTTCATGGATCAGAGTCTGCGAGAGGTACTGGTGGTAGCAGCTGTAACTTACGAAATAATCTCCGTCTTTTACGAAACCAAACGATTCATTTACGTGTGACATACGAGGGCCACTTCGCGCTGAGCATGAAGACAACTCTCTTCTGGAATATAGCTCCATATGAGCTAGTAGATACTGACCCGACGTTTCAGAGGGTCGTACTGCCTGAACCCTCAAACGTGTAAGTCCATGCCTAAGTTTCAAGTGGTCTTTTTCGGTTTCCGAATAAAATGTTTGTGTGCATTTCTCATCTGCCCCATTAAGGGCAAATATTTTTGCCTATTATTTTCCTTGAGTTTATTTTCAATAATTATTGTGCGTCACTAAAATGAAAAACTTGTATGAACTTCCCGAATTAGAACCGTGGGTTTGAGTTTGAGAAAACCGCCTAAATTTGTTAAAATGTTTCCTGCATTCATTACTTGTAACGCCATTAGAACTTAATTGTTCGTCCTGATAGAATATAATAGTTGTACTATAAATGCAGAATACTATTATGTTGACTGAGATCAGCTCCTTAGATTTTAATGCAAATGTTTCTAAAGGCCAACCAGTGATTTGGCATCCGCAGTTGAGATATACAATTACATGTTTATTTTCATTAGCACACAGTTATATGACCTACTGATAACTTCCCGCCTGCTCATTATCGCCTTTTGCGTTAACTTGTATGAAATACCTCGGTGGATTTTTACGAAATGTGGCACATAAATTAGATTTTAAACCACATGAAACATCATTGTTGATTCTAAATGGAGGTGAATATTTCGCAAACGTCTTTTTGGTACCTAAATTATTTATCAGGTTAATTAAATATTTACGCTTGAGTAAAGTTTTAATTTGAGCCTCACCTTTTCGTAAGTGTTGCCAACATATTGAGATAAATGTTTTTTGTTTTTTTTTAAATTTCACGCAATTTCAACTCGTGTTAATGGCTAAGTACATGTAAACGTTGCTTAACTTTTCTGACTATTTCTGACAACATAATCCTCAAGGAAATCGTGAATGACACATTTCTAGTGGATAAACAGTTTGTTATTGTAAACTTAGTTAAGAATTATTTTGATTTTTTCAAGAACGTTTACATGTTATCTGTTCGAAAGGTAATATCAGATTTGTAAGTTAACTCAGAATGAATATTCGTGAAAAGGCCACAATAGTACTGAGTGTGTGTAGAAGGGACATTTAGGGTTTTTGAAAAATGTTGTAAATTCTGATATTTATAACCTCAAGCCAAACATGAAAACTTAATGCATACAATGACCATTACTATAATTAATTATTTCCTGCAAATTAGTGTAATTACGTATCCCCTATTTCTAACCAGTTTCGATAGTTTATTAATAATCCTTGACATTACTTCTTGTTTGACTACAAGTAGCAAAGTACCGATTTATATTAAAGCCGACTTCTTTCTCTTTCTGCTTAATTTGACTGCACATATACTATTTAGTCAGGTCATTTGTTGTTAAAATTGATGGCCAAGTGACTACTAATTAATGACATTTTAAGTTGAGGAACAAGTTTAACAAATTTAGTTTGTATAATAACGTTATTTTCTCTTGTCAGTATCAAATAACATTGTCATATGATTTTAAATTACGTAATTTTGCCTCTGATTTACTGATTTGTGTTTGCTTCATGCTCTCCTGTCCGTGATAAAGGAGATGCAAAGGGAGATGATTATGTTGCAGGGAGTAACAATTATGGTCTTATCCCAGTATTGCCAAAAGAATTAAGTGTAACAGAGAATAAATGCACATAATGTAAGCAACCGAATTTTCGATTTAGACTTATTAATGAACGACATTTAAATCATGAACATACTTATCTTCTAGATTATTGCGCTGTGTAGTTTGGTAGAATTTTACCAACATTTCAGTTGCCTTGATGATGGAAACAGCAAGCACATCTCAAACGTCAGTAAACATCTACCAAACTACACGGCTCCGCAACTCAGAAGACCGACATCTTCATATCAGCTGCCGTGGGAACCTGAAATCCCACGAGGTTTAATTATTGTAGCTAGTGGTTCATTTACAGTAATTTCCTTGTCTCTTCGTCTCTGATGAATACAGATTTGCTTCAGAGTATCTCGGCGTCAGGGTACAATTCTATAATGAACAGAGACAAAATGGTTTGTCACGAAGAGATGCATATCATTTCTACAAATGAATAAATAAATAATAAAGGGCAGGTTTATACTTGATCTGAGTGATGGGTGAAGTGTTGTGTCATCATTGATTTTGATGTTATTATAAGTATAATTAAATTATTTAAATCCTTACTTTTCTTGTGCGCCGTGCTACCGTTTAGGCATAACTTCCTGAAAATGTGTGACTCGTTCAGTATTTCGCAGTGGAATGAAAACTCAAATGACGGGTGTATGTGGAATGTACAGGGATACTGCAGCAACTTCTTTAGTGATATTATATATGTAAGTCAGGATAGCCCTGTTTGTACAGTGGGTGGGTACAGTCTGGAGGACGAAGGGGCTATCAAATGGATATCAGGGGAGCGTTTCATCCCGGGGTAAAGACCTGCGGCATGGAGCTGTCCACTCAAATCCATTACTTTAGAACTAGTGGATCTATACCTCCATTTCCCATATGCATTATGGCGTATGATTATGTTTTCAGTATTGAAAGTAAAAAAATTATAAAGTTTCTGAAAAAAGTAAATAAAATTTGAAAAACATTTTCGCGTCGAATGAAACCAAATCCTGCCAGACGTACCAATGAAAAACCTTCCGCCTGTCTCCAGACTTTTTCCAAACGCAGACTCTGCTAGACGCCGTCACAGGCACCACCACCGCCTTGCAAGCTCTTCTTGCTGCCTGATTCGCCAGCTTTAGAACTCCATTTTATCTATTCTCCGCTTCGCGCGAACTTTGCAGTTGTCCATTCAAGCTTGAGGGGCATTGGCTGTTAAATCTGTATTGGAAATAAAAAGATTATCGTCATCATCTTATAATTTGAGCTAATCAGCCCGTGAACTAATTAACTGTAATAAAGCTAACTTCACTCCGGGACAACCAAATACTGCGTCAGAGATGAAGCTTCTAACATACGACCCAGGGTATGATAATGCGATGTCTGGTCGGGGCTGACTCTCATATCGTGGGGCGGTGATTGATGAATATAGAGCAGTGGTGGAATCATGATTGCAGGGGATAACCTACCAGCTCGGCGAGAAACCTGCTGTAAACCACTTCGTCCATGAATCTCACTTGAAATCACCCCGGAATAATTTCATGTTAAAATGTAATAATTAGAATAGAACGTAATACGTATAGCATTATGCTGAAAATAAAATGTATTTTTAAGTTAATTCCATGTATTAATTACATGCTATCTTCTTTTATTTCAGATTGGATGAGCCCTTTTGACAGAGTCGTTTGTGGTAAGTTCCTTTAAGTATATTAAAATTGCAACGTAGTGTTGTGGATTGATTTTGGGAACATCTAACGGCTTACAAACATGTGTAGGCCTATTTCACATTTGCACGTTTGTTTGTTTGTTTGTACTTATTTGCATTGGCTTTCATAAAACTGATTCAGCTTTCTCATCTTCGATGGAAGTAGTGTGAACCCTTGCTTCTGTTGCATGGTTTTATCTTGCACAGATACATAGTTTGCCTGTTCTAACATTTTTTTTTGTTTAATTATGATAAACCAACAATATTACGTTTAGTAATAAGAAACAAACAATTTGTAGTTCAGTGTTTAATTCAAAGTATTTTGATAAAAAAAATAGCTTTATATTAATTGTAAATGGCTGTTTAATTCCGCTGGGGAGGTACAAAAATTCAACATACAGTTCTTAAATAGCTGACTAGATTTTCGTGCTTTTAGCCCCTTAAAGCATAGTGGACCCGTATGTCATACCCGTATTTAACATTCGTTAATTTCGCATTTTGGCCACAGAATTTAATTGGTGTCATGAATTTGCAGAAGAACAGTGATTATTTACTTAAACAGCATTAACGAATTGATCTATGTAACGGAGACGTTTTTTGTTTTCGTTTGATGTAAAAAATTAATGACTTATTTTACAGTATGTTCTGAAATAAATCAGCCCATCGAATTAATGACTTATTTTGCAGCATGTTCTGAAATAAATCAGCCCATCGAACCCAGGTTTTTTGTGAGTCCCAGCATGAAGGCAATACAATGAAATATGTCTAATACTGAAATTGTCAGAAATGTCAGTAAAATCTCTGGCCTCGGGTGCATGGCCACTTTCTGCTGACATTTCGAGATTAGTAACTACATATTTTCTAATATACCGTTCTTTGTCGTTTCATTTCAGTTCACGTCTTCTATTATGTATCTCCTTGAAAATATTAGGACCTGAAACTACACGGTAGCTTGGGCTCAAAAATGATAACACTGAAGTTACAAAACGTCAAAGCAATTGTCAAACTAAAAAATGTAATTTTTAACTATACAATGCTGTAATTTAAATATGTAGGCTACATTAGCTGGAAATTAACAATCTGATCGTCACTGATTTATCAATGATTTAGAAACAAAAATGTTCTTAAAGTAAAACGCCAAGAGAAACTGCGTTTCGTTGTTCTTAAACTAAAACGCCAAGAGAAACTGCGTTTCGTGGAGTGAATACCTGAGGTTGTTTTGATTTGGTCATGATTGGTTACTTTATTGTCATGATCTTAAGAAATCTTGTTTTTCCATCATCAAAATCAAGATTGAACGAGGTCTGATGACGATGCGTTATATGTAAAATTGTTTTCTTGGACTTTGTCTATCATCTAAATTGTAATTAAAATCACAAATTTTCAGAAGCTGGATTCTTTCTCTTCCTTTTTAACTTAAAGACGGAAGCGCAATCCAGTTATTTTATTTACAAATTAGCCCATGGGCAAAGTTTAAGAAAACAATTTACAGAAAAACTTAATGTTGATACTTGAAATATTATTTATCTACTGAACACATTTAGTACTTCATGAGGAATTTAAATGCCGTCATTGGTTTTATAGTCAGTTCCTCCTTCTGTTAGTCATGGAGTAGGCTTTTTTAAAACGATATTCTATCAGTTGCAGAAATTATTTAGCGTTTACTTAGCATGAATCGCTTGTTTCCTGTCATAAGATTCGGTTGTTTACGCTTTTCTAAAACTTAGAAAACGAAGACAAAAGACATGTGAACAGATCGTGTTTCTTTGGTATTATTAAGAGGAGAGACCAAACTTATTGTAACATGCTAAGGTTCTGAGACTGGATACGTTGCATGACCCCCATGTGTAATTAAAGCCCAGTCAGGGGAATTGGCCTTCATGATATATATTTTATACATTCTCATACGAAGTTAGAAAGAGCCTAAAATTTGAAAGTTTGTTAAAAATGACAAAATGTTTTAAGAATAACTTGTTTCTAAGCGCAGTTTCATGCAATTTCAGGTTAAAATCAAGCCCCAATTAAAAGAGTACGTTAAGTCGATGACACCGGCTGTGGGCCTACGTTCACTGAAGAAACTGCCTATCTCTGTTTGCTATGTACCAACTGTCTCACCAGGGACAAGAATTTCGGATGTTTTGCATAAACATGTTTCTCTCATTTTTTGCAACTGATGCAATATTGAAAGCATTCGAATACCAAGAACACCAAAGAAAAGCCCTTTATAAAATTTAGATCCCTGATTTCGCTATCATTCATAACACAAGCAGGTTCTAAAAAGAGGAGGAACCAAAATAATTCTACTGTTTTGTTTGGTAAATAAACTGCTTTGCTTCAATTTTAACCCTTTCACTGCTAACCCCTTACAGTGTTGTTGCATGGGTAAGATATCTTCTGTGCTAATCAAAAATATATTACTTTTTAGTGTTTTTGTATTTCTTTCTAAAGCATCCACAGAAAGGACACACTGTCATTCAGCTGCATCCTGTGAAATACTGAATCTGACCCTATTCGAAATTCAAAAGAATTCTCCCACATTTGTCTACTGTACCTGAAATGTTTTTCCCAGTACTAAAGGGGAGAAATGACTGAGAAATTGTTAGTGCCTAAATATGTGTCAGTAACGTGTTAAGCAGGGCTGAAGCAATGCTTTTAAATTAATTGTACGCGCATGTCAGATGTGGTGGTTGCCAGACATAAAAATTTGTCATTAAAACTTTTTAACGGGGGTGTGTTTAATTCATAACATATGACTTTATTCTTCGAGGTGCTCAGGGTTTTGGCTTTTATCTGCCTAGCTTGTGAGTTTGGCAGAGATTTACTAAAGCAAATTAGTTTCCTACACTCAAGTTTTCAGGAATAGTTCTTACAGTGTGTTGTTACTTGCTGCTTGATGTGCGAGTATTACTCAATCACCAGCAGAATGCTCCTGTTCCGTACCTCGGAACTGCCCTTCTTCAGAATTGATTATATTTCTTGACAATAAGGCTATGCAATTGATGTTGGCAGAAAACCTATTCGTGGCGTGCTGCTACTTCGGTTTCCACTGGTTGTCAGCAATGATATCTGACGGATGTGCTGGCGGTACGGAACAACCTTCCCGCTATCCGCCATCACTGTGCTGCTTGCATAGTTTCCTAGCCCTGACGGCACAAACGCCAAATATTCTTGTATTTATTCGTGTTCCTCCTGTGAAATGTTACATTTGTTTAAAAAGCTGTTCAAATAATGGCGTTGCCCACGAAGACAAACTGAGACACGAAAAGAAAAAGATACTTTTTTAAAATTTAGATACCTAGCATAAGTAAGTAATTACGTATATAAAAATTTATTCATTGTGTAGAAAATTTTCTTATCTTAGTCTCTAGTTTCTACATTCTCCTGGGCTAGGTCGTTTACTTTCTTAAAATCCAAGCATGCCTTGCGGGATTGTTTCGCAGAACCAGTCGAGATGTTTGGGAAAGAAAGGCAATTTTTAAAAAAAATCCCTTGATAAGACCAAGTGTACGAAATTATCGATAAAAAATTGTATTTCACCTGCGTACCAGCATTTTGAATGTAAATAAATGTGTGGTGTGTAAATAAAGGCCGCTTCTTTGCATGATAAAAGGCAGTTGGTGTGTCTGCCTTGTTTTTTCAGTTTCCAAATTTATAAATTAACTAACAGTGTGATAAGAAATATGCATATTCAGAATTATAAATTCATTTTCTGCTACTTTACAGATCATATCCAACACATGCATAAAATAGAAACAGTACATTTATTTGTAATATAATAAATAATGTACTTTTGTGTAAGAAACTCCATTCTGCATGCAAAAATAGATGTTTGAAGCTTAAAAACCCAGGCGATATTTGCTACCATAGTCAATACACAGCATTATAAAACAAAAGAAGCGCTGATAATGTTATTCGGAGTGAGTGTAAATTCGTGATGTCATTTTGAGCCTTGGGCTGCCCGCCACCGGCTTAATATGTGGCTCTGAGGACCTTCTATTCTATTGCTGTACGAAATAACGTACTAACAGCTGAAATGTGCTTTTTCAAAATTTCGAACAAAACCGAAATGCTTCTAAAATAATGGATATTTATCATGTTCATCTGGTTTCACAAAGGCAGAAAATTCTTTACTAGCTGGACGACTATTTGCTTTAAAAGAAGGTATGTGCTCCGTAAAGTTAGTTAATGAAGTAATTATGTAAGATACAGTTTATAGGCATATCATAAACTAAGAACCAATTGTTTATATTTCTATTCATAATTTCATGATTGGTTTTCCGTTCTACATATGTTGCCACTCTACCTGTCGAAGGTGCAGATATTTACAGAAAATGAATAACTGGCATTGAAAAAGTGGTGAATGTGATTGTGTAATTTAAATCCGGAATATTAGTAATGGCACATAACACTTTTTCTGTTTTATTTTATTTGTTTTGATTACACTCATGTAAGAATTGTTATAAACCGCAAACCGTCCATATTGAAGGTACCGAATATAAATATCGATGTAGTTGTAACATGAAGCTGTACGGCAGTCCCATTGGCTTTCCATCATAGCAAACTCCGGTGAATCGTTACTCGCCCTATGTGCTCGCTTAAATATTATATGTTATGTCTTTGCAAAAGACAGTCTGACATCATTGAGCGTTTTGTTTCAGAAATACCAGATTCTTATGATCGAATAGATCTTGAAACTTTTGTACAGGATGTTTCACCGTACTGTGTCCGACCATATCGAAGAAGGAGTGCTAAATTTACCAAGTCCCAGACCCGGATTATGTATTTGAGAATGAGCGAAGACAGATTTCATGTTGTTAATAAATTTTATCTAAGTTTCTTGTAGCGTGTTCTTAAAATTATGGGTCAAAAATAAGAATTAAAAATAATCAGGTACCCACTTCTGTCGTCTGAAAATAAGCATGTTTATGGGCAGAGAAGAGGAGTAGGATCGTCTGGTGTTTTGTCACTTTCAAGCTACAAAGGCCACAAGTCACGGGAGTTGGCCACGTTAATTTGCTTCGCGTCTGACTGCATTTCAGTGATTTTGTCTCGGCACATTACAGAAGGTATTCCCCGATGAAAAACGTTCTGAACTGCGGGGTTTTCTACATTGTCACACGTGCCCCTGTTCATACTGTGCGTACAACGCGGAAATGTTATTTTGAGCGGTAGTACTGAGTTGGGCATGCGCAGAGCGTATCATGTTAACTCCTGCCTTCCAGGAAACGCCATCTATATTAGACGGCAAGTTAAATGATGCAGACAATACAGCGCCGGTGCGTGATTAGAAATGATTGAAATAGAACTGCTTTGGCTGTGCTGCTTCCTGGTTTAGGAACCAAACTGGGAGGTTACAAAATATCGACCTTCCAGAGCACAGGAACAGAGAGCTGTATTACCAACTACTGTAGCAATCGCACTATTGAGGTTTTCTTACGATGCTGTTGTGTCATATGCGGGTAGTCCACTTGTTTTACTCCGCAGGTCTGTGTGAATAAATGTATCAGTTCAGAGATAATGTATTCTGTAATGTACAATGGATGCAATGAAACGTGCTTGTAATAACAAATGTCTTTGTTCTGTAATTGCTAGTAGAAACACCAACCTTTCAGATGAGAGGGCAGTTTAATTGTTAGACGCCTGGCGGCTGCACACACTGATTTATACCGGATGCTCATTCCGTCATCTAGTTCCACGTTGTTCCGTTGTTGGCCACGTGTTATCTCAGACATCATCCTTTATAAGAAAAAATTGAAGTTTCTCATAGATGACAGTGGACTACGAAAATGAAAATTCTTTTTCGCTTACAGGTCACCTTTTTATCAATTTGCCTGCTTCCAAATTTGTTTCATAAAATATCACAATTAGGCAGGAGTAACTTTTCAGAAACAGTGACTGATCTAGTGAGGGCCAGGAATAGATAACATCACGAACATGTTTATATGTAATCGCATAGAATGTCAAGAAAGGCATTTTGTGTCCTTGAATTCAACCGTATTTATTGTACACAGCCTTTACTTACTGTCTTCCACTTATCTCATCTGCTATGCTTATGTTACAATCTACTTCTTTACTTATTTTACCTTGCATGTATACAACGCTTTTCAGATTCCCATTCCATTTTACTTTATTAAGTGCAACAAATTCCACTAGATTTGTAATTTCGAGACTCATAGCTATGTAAAACAAGAATCGAGACGAGCCCAAATCAGGACGATCTTAAAGATCTATAATGTTTTCATTGAACTAAACTGTTCTTGGATAGGGTCATGTGGTGGGTTCTTTCGAACACTATAGGCGGAGTTTCGGTTCTCATAGAAAACTGCTAATTTCTTTACCATCTTAGCGACTCAAAGGTTTTGCTGCATGAATTTTCCGTACAATTTGTTTTTGTAGCTGATTATGATGTAACAGGGAATGTTGTATGGATCCGCGTCTTTTTGTGTGTATTCTGCGTAAAAGTCGAATGTCTTCGGAAACGGAACACGAGCGAAATAAGTTTGAAATCGTCAATAAGTATATTTTGTTACAAGAGTCATATTCTTAACGTTTCTAAGTGTTCAAAACCTGGAGTGCAATGCATTTCAGCAACACTTGGCCATTATGCGTTTATTTTTACTCAGTTGCACACTCGTAATGATATATTTTATGCACAGTAATGCCCAGGGGAGGGGGGGGCAAAGCCAAATAACAAATTGTAATTATATATAATTGCGAGTGAAGGTAATCGCAAAAAATAATGTGTTTCTACGAATCTGGAATCAAAAGAGTGAGAAATGCCTGCATTTTTTGCTGTAAGAATCAGCCGTCAACGCTACTTTGACCCTTTGAACAGAGTAGTCATGCTTAGGAATCTGTCAAACTTGCAGAAAAGTAATATGAGGGTTCAAGGCAATTATTTGAACCATCTGGTACACAGTTTATTCACCGTCTCATAGGTTTACGACTAGAGATTAACCTACTTTTTTAGCGTGAACAGAAATATTATCGGAGACTTGAGGCCTTCACGGTCATGAAGATGTTGATGATGGATTTCAGGGTTGTAACCCCGTGCACGTGCACACGGCGTTACAACTCTGTTCACCATCAACATAAATGTGATGGTCCGTACATCTGGACATGAATGACATTTCTGCTATTGCGAAACGGATTTACGTTACATTTAACATTTGAAGTCAAAGTATTGGATTTGGCTTGAATATTTTATATTAGGTAACCATTTTTTTTATAAAATACGGAATAATTTACCAACTTATCACAGGTAGGTCTTTCATTGAAGTACGTGAATTAATACTAATGCTCTTTTGTGGAGAGGAACGTGGGGTAACTCTGAGTCTGTTGTTCATTACCATTATTTAATGCATCGATAAATTGGAACAATGAAAGAACTGATGGCGTTATGAGACTGGGAAAACGCATTTAATCTCGAAATAGAAGGGGAGGGAACGGAAGCCAACTCGTATCACCGATATGTAATGTAAAAGTATCCTAATATATCATAGCTAATCTAATGTTATTTTCTGCTAAAAATGTAAGAGTTCTCATGAGTACTTGCTGGCATCAGACACTTTATTCAGCGTAACCAAGAAACGTGTCCACAAGGAGAATGGCACATGGCCAGTTGTTGCACATGACGTAATTTTCTTTTCAGTGACATAGTACTGTGAAAATAAAACACGAGTAGCCTCCTGCACACGGATCTCCCACGTATTTTGTGCTGCGCGCAAAGTTTGTTACAAAGCTGTGTCATTCCGTTTGATGAATTATTATCACCTCACACCAAAAACATGTTCTGTTAATATCGTCAGTATTTGGCAGTACATTTCGCAGTGAACAACTGTTCAGCTTACTGAGACACGTCAAACTGAGACGTGTTTTTCTGATCAAGTCTTGTAGGTATGCATGCATATCTTAAAATAAAACGAGTATTGGAAATTTACTCTAGCAAAAACAGTGGAATTTGTCCTAATAATGACATATTTCTGTTTGCAAGTAATGTTTAATAGTAAACTAGTAATATTTAACAAATTACCATGAAGTTGTAATAATTGTTCCTATTTATAACTTTGTTGCCTGCGAATTGTTAAGCAAGGGTGAATTTGGCACTGGGTCTTAAAAGGGCAGGTAACGTCTGCTGTAAACACTATTTTGATTTATGTTAGAAGTCTTGATGAAAGATCTAAGGGAAAAGGCCAGTTCACTTTTCTTGTCTGTAAAATACCCTGCCCCGTTAAACGACAGTTCTTATTTTTCAAACGAGTATAATTCTGAAACAAATTTTTAACGTTCATTTAATTCTGCGGTTGGTGATTAACACCTTAAAATACGACCGGAAAATCATGAGGATATAAATAGAATAAAAATCTTGACACCTGCGTGTAAAAGAGGATAAAGATTAAGTAAAGTAAAAATATAAATAGGTCTTGTAAGCCTGAGTTGCAAGTGGTCCTGGTATGACCGTGAAGGGCATAGCTTTTTACGTTCCTGAGTAGAAAAGCTTTGTTTAAAGGTGAATTGACTGTTAAGTGCTTGGGCCGAAGATTTTTAAATCAATTGGTTGAATATCAGAGCGCGGAGGTGTTTGTGAATGCCTCGTAAAATCAGACTTGGCTTATGACATCCATATGCGTATTATAAGTTTCAACATAGGTTGAATATTCTCAATTGTATGTAACAATATCTTTTGTCATCCTAATCGAGTTGTGGAACACCTTGTTATCTTGTAGGATTTGAGGTTTTTACGGTGGTGAAAAGATAACGGACTGAAGAATCCCTTCTGCTCGTCACATTCATTGTCCTCTGATGCGTAACATGTTTTATTTTTGTTGCTGAACGATGGCAAGGACATTATTTATTTACAGTAGGATAAATCCATTGGCAGACTATATTGTGTTATTGCCTCGTACAGTATTCTAACTGCATGCCAACTTCTTCGAGGAACATACTACCTTCATCTTTAGGGATGACGATAAAGACATTATGTTCCTCCGAAACTTTGGCATGTAGCCAAAATATTATTTGGATCAACAAGCTTTGAGACCGCCGTTTGTATTCACAACTTTGTGAAAGCTTCAGATCCTACAGTATTACTCAACATGAAGTAAGTGTTTTTAAAATTTAGTTCGTAGGGTTTTCGAGAAAGAACTGTCACATTTTAAGCATTTTGTTGTGAAAATTATTGCAAAGTACAAGAATGCGGTTTTTGCAACATGAGAGAGGAGCTCTGAGTTTTCTCTCCTGGACCGAGGTCTCCGTTGTCCCCGCAATGGTCATCCGATTTTCAAATGTCCGGCAAGCTTAGACGTGCATTTCTGGTGGGATTCATTCCACAGTGGAGACTGCGTTCTTTAAAATGTTCTATAGGAGTGAAGTCTGTGGAATACACGTGGTTCTTTGCGTGCTACCAGGGAAAACCCAGGCTAGCTGATGACGAAATTTTGTAAGCAACGCATTAGGCCCATCTCTATCCATCGCATCTTCCAGCGGACATTCTATCCATAATTCTCAGACGATTAAACCTAAATTTGGTTTAAATACAACTTTCAGAGTTTCTGTTTCACATGGTAAAATCAGTACTCGTTTAAAATGTCATTCTCTGTTGGACATGCTATATTTCCTCCAGACTCAAAAGGCGATAAGACGTTGAGGGAATATAAAGTGTCCAACCCGAGAGAACTTCTTCGTACGCTTCTTTTCTAAGCAGCTTATATAACTGCCGCTGCTCTTTGTAGTAATTTACAAACACGTTCAGGGTTTACAATTTTGTTTGAAAACAAACACGACGGAAAATGAATAAGAAACACGCTTTAGGAGGATGTTGAGACCATTTAAGGGGCATATAATAATACCATTCTGACCCATATGTACAATTTATTGACGTGCTTACAAACAGATGATAAAAGGATATGGTAATAGTGTCATATGAACGATCTTATTCTGAGGTGTTTCGGGTCTAATATACTAGGAACAATAGAGTGAACAGGATTTTTACTATGCATAATTAATCGATATTGAATTTAGAGCTGATCTGATATAATGTTTAGATTTTTATTGCTGTAAAACCTGCACCTTCGTATTTCAGTCTCCCTTCTATATTCATTCCATTTGAAAACATCGTCGATTTATTAATATAAATACTAATTGGGCAATAAATGCGTGATAATGTATACGGGTCCGTAATATGGGACTTCGCTCATCTGTGTTTAGTCATGAAGAACTGGTTAGGGAAAATTAATGTATTCTGAATACCCACTTCTGGCAGTGTC